CTTCTCTTGAACACAGAAGGACAAGTGAAACAGTCACAGACTGAAGAAGGTCTTCCTGCTCCTCCAAGCACCAAAGAAGGTATAACAATGGCCTCTGGGTCCTCCCACCTCTTCCTCCAGATCAGAGTTGCCAATGGTTCCAGACCACTCAAGCAACTACCAATATGCAAAGGCCACTCAGCTGAGTCCTGGCAGATCACAGGTGTCACTTAATGGGCCCTTTCCGTGGTGACTTTCACCCAATTCCTAAAGTTGAATATTGTTGCAGCTTCTACTTTCTAGACAGAGTCAAGGCTACATTGTATCACTTAACTGAAGCTGGGAGATACTGGCACACAATGTCCCCTCCCGGATTGCTCCCAGTCTGCACCTTTGTCAGTCTGCTCCCCCTGACATGGCCAAGAGCTGTGGGTCCACAAAGCTGTCCATCTTTCCTCCAGCTGCAGGAATACACAGGAAGGGGGACTCTCTGTAGCCCTGGATGTCCTAGAATCTCTCTCTCTGTAGACCAGGCTAGCCTCTCACTCATAGAGACCCGCATGCTTCTGCCTCCCAAGGGCTGGAATTAAAGGTATGCACGAACATCACCTGGCTCAGGTTCACTCCCTAAGCGAGTAGCCTTTTTCTCAAGAGAATCTACCACAGAGCAAACCTCCTTCCTTGTGGGCTGACATCCTGGACAACTCTCAGGATACTCCCTATCTGGAAAGGAATGCAGTCAGTGGCCCACAGGCTGACCAGGCAGTGGAGGCTAGGCTCTGAATCTTGCAGCTGTGTTCCTTCCCAGTTCTCTTTCTTGCTTCCTTTCTCACAAAGTTGTTGCCTTGCCTTGAAGGCACAGTGCCCTGGGGACTGTACGAGCTTCAGCGAAGCAGAGTATCCAGCTCCTCTCTCTGCTCGGCATTGGCTACCCCTGAAAGTCTGGGGAACTTGCAGGCTCAAAGCAAACCAAAGTCTGGTCTCTGAGGCCCCCTGTGCTGGGCAGGGTGCTCCCCCAGCAATCCAGAGGAATGGGTGCCCTGATCTCTGTCTCTAATTCAGGATTTTCTAGCCAGATCTACACCAAAGCCTTTCCAGTCTCTGTCACACTAAGGGCCACCTGTTCTTCAGTCCAAGCCTCGATGTCTTCAATGGGTGAGGGCCCTTCTGCCCTACCTGCCCTCCTGAAGGTGGACTGGCTGTCCCAGTAGGGTGTCCAAGAAGCAGCATGTCCACTGACAGCATTGAGCCAGGCTTATGCCACTTTCCAGCTTCTCTGAGGTGTTAAGGGCAGGAGAGCCTGATGTACCCTCCCATCTAATTGCTTCCCAGTGTCACATGAGCAGGTCAGTTTGGTTCCCAGAGTGTCCGTTTGCCCTCCACAAAATGAAATAGACAATGGGTGTTTCCAGTCATTGCCTGGGCCCTGAGGGCAGGTCAGAGTTGTGCATTTTGTGAACCATGAGCCTAACTCTCAAACACGGGGCCTCTGAGCTCAGGACATTTCTTCCAGGCAGTCAGCTTTGACAGGTAGTGCTTGGAAGGCTCTTCCTCGAGGGTGGAGGGCAGAGGGCAGCATTCCTGGCAGTCTGTGGGTTATAGCCTGCCAGATCCCCTGGCCCCACCCAGCAGTGTTCCAGTTTCTGATGTCAATTAGTCCCACTGACTTCATCAGGGAGGAAGCTTGGGAAGATAAGCAGGCAGGCCAGTGGAGCGTAAACAAGAGCATGGGCTCCTGGAGATAGAGGAGCTCAGAGCACACAAAGGACTAACTTGGAAGGTGTTGCAGATGGATGAAGACCTCTCCGGTGGGTGACCCAGTGGCTGGGACACTCATGATTAGTGGCAATTTGTGGGACTAGACAGGACCTCAGGAGCCAGCCAGGCCATGTATGAGAGAGCCTGGACCCAAGGAGGGAAGGTGCTGGGCCACATCTGGTCAGATGCCCAGATTTACATGACTCAGAGCATCAGGTCAAGAGCTGCATGCTTCAACTTGACATATGACAGGGCAGGACAGTGCTAGCTCATGAGGGCTCTGGGCTGCTGAAGCTGAGCCTATGCCCTGGGATTCCTGGTCAGCTTGGGCCCTTCTAAACCTGGGGCCATCTGTGCATACAGCAGGCCAGCAACAGGCTGGGGCAGCATTGGCTGTAGGGAGCCAGGCACAGGTCAAAGTTCTATGATAGACAGGGGCCAAAGCAGCATGAAGAGGTGGCCATAGGTAAGGCTGTTGGATAGGAACCTCCAAAATAGACATGTAAGAAGGTGTTTGGATCAGGACCCAGCAAGGGAAGGGTATGATAGTCAGGGAAGTGGTGATCCCGGTACCTTGAGAAGCCATCATGGGAGCTGGGTGTGTTATCTCGGTGTAAAGGCCCACATCCCAGGGCTGATCCACGCTGCATGGGTGTTTCCAAGGCCCTGTCAGCTGCTCTGCCATCTGCTTTCACACTCAACAACTGATGAGCCCCAGGGGACTCACAGGCAGCAAGGACCTGGCAGCTGCTCTGGACGGAGAAGCCTCCTTTCCTTCCGCCCGCAATGCTGTGCTCATTATGCTCCACATCCTGGAGGGCCTAAGCCCTTCCATACCGCTCGCCTCAGCTGCACAAAGTGTGTCCTCACAGAACATAGCCCTCACTAGGCTGCCTCCCCTCGGCAGAGGCTTCCCAGTCAATCCTGAAACTGCAGCAACCCAGGCGAGCAGGCTAGTACACTAGTGGGCCGGGGTCACCACAGAGCAACTAGCTGCTTCAGCACCTGACACTGCTTCCCGACTCTGGTTCACAGAGGCAGGAAGCCCCAGGGTCTCCTGAGGCCTGCAGGTGGCCATTCCTCTGGTGCTCCTCAGAGCTCATGTTCTATGTGCACAGCCCTGTTCAAGTCTCCCCTGCACCAGCTGAACTGGGTTGAGCCTACCCTCAGGGTCTGATTTCTTTGCAGGCACGTGTTCATTTGTGTGCACACGTGTGGGATGAGTTGTGTTTGGAGGCCAAGTGACCACAGGCTAAGCTATCGCACCAGCCCCCTAAAGGCCTCACTTAATCACCTCTGTCTCCAAATAAGTCACTGTCTATGGGCACTCAAACTTGGAGCTTCAGCATTTCAATGGCAGGGTACCCTTCAGCCCACAGCAGCCACGGGGGGACCCTGATTCTCACTAATTGGCTGTAAGAATGCACAGGGGACCCTCCTTGGGTTCTCGAGTATTCTGTGGTCTGCGTGGTCGTGTCTTCCTGGATGGAGCACCTCTAGGGCTAGGGTGGGGTCAGGTCCTCTTAGGGACTCTGTCTGGCTACAGAATTATGTGGTCAGTGTGGTGACCACATAAAATACCTCATGATTTTTCAGGTGTGGTGGCTCATACCTTTAATCCCAGCACTTGGGAGACAGAGGCAGGTGGATCTTTAAGTTTGAGATCAGCCTGGTTTATAGAATGAGTTCCAGGACAGCCAAAAACAAGTAATAGTAATAATAATAACAATAATAAATCATGCATGATTAAATGTGAAGGGGCAGGAAGGCCAGAAGAGGCTCAACAAAGAGGCCATTGTTTTAGAGTCCCTAGCCCCTACCTCCCTTGCCTGACACAATCCCTCACACCCACCTAGGTTTCTGAAGAAGTTTCATGTCCACCTTCTCCAGGCCTCACCACAGCAGTGGTGGAAGGAAAGAGCTGGAGCAGCCCTTGCTTAGACCAACCACTGAGCTAGATCAGGTCCAGCTTGCTCAAGGGTGGGGCTAAGATTCTGCCTGAGCCTAACCAACACTACAGAGCTGTCTGGGAGCCTAGAACTGGGTGGGCTGGGCTTCCAGGAAGCAAGTGATTCATGGCTGTTCCTGCCCTGCAGCTGGACACCGGGCCCTGACAGGAACAGACTTGTACCTTAGGCGTCTGGTACCAGGCACAGCAAGCCAGGCAAAGGTAGACTTGGGCCAGCCCTGCCTCAGTCTGCAGCAGCAGGAAAGCTGAGGGGGAGGGCAGAGCAGGGGGCTCCAACCTTCTGGAAGACTGACCCTGCTGTGAGGCTTAGCTCCGTCACATCAGAGACTTGAACTCTTGGACCAGTTAGCATTTCTGAGGAAACTCTTCATAGGCCAGATGTGAACTGCTGCCATCATGGAACCAATATTTGAGGAACAACACTATGTGCAGGGGCCATTTTAGGCACTGGAGACCCAGTAAGGAACAAGCCCATACACCCATGGAAGTTTCACAGAGAGGGGTGCACACGCTTTGAGGGCAGTGCTGAGTACTGCCTTGCTGTGCCTTGGGACCCTTTAACTGGAGGAGACGAGGCCCAAGGAGACCTCCCTGAGGCAGCCATGTTGCGCTTGTCCCATCTTAAGCAGCATCCGGAACAGCAACTCGGGTTCCTCGGGCCTGTTAGGGAGGGAACGGTCAGGTGACCGACACAAGGACTCCATCTCCTGTCTCTCTGGAGGTTGTAGACCCACAGCCATCCACAGAACCAGCTTTCACTTCCCGGAAAAGCAGCCCTTATTCTCCTCTCCCTCCCAGCCTTCCTTGGCCTGCCGGGGCCAACCTGCAGGACTCTCGCCAGCCGCCAGGAGACCAAGACCTAAAAAGACACGGATGCCCAAGGTCACATCGCTCGTGGGCGCACACCGGCAGTTCTAAGGCTACCCAACGCCAGCACACGACCGCCTGGGCAGCATTTCTGCGCTGCTGGAACTCCGCCTGTCATTGCAGCCCTCCCCCGCCCGTCGCGCGTGCGGACCCAGCAGCGCCCAGGGACAGCGAGAGCCACACCGGGCCGCTGCGACCTCACTCCTCACGCCCAGGCCCCTCAGTCGCCTCCTCTGACCCCTCCCGGTCCTTCCTAGGCCCTTTCTGCTCCCCAACCTAGGCTCCCTCTATCCTCTGCTCCTTCTCTGTCCCCAAGCCCAGCCTCCCCTGTCCTCACCCTGCTCGCTTCCTCCCGGGTCCCCGCCGTCCTCCCTGCGTCCCGGGTGACGCAGCGCCGCCTCCCGTTCCCGCCTCCCCGCGACACCTCCGGGAGGACTGCAGGGGCCGCTAACGGTCCTGCGCCTCCCGGCGTCCGCGCGCCCCGCGCCCGGCGGACGAGGCCGCGCCGGCTACGATGGGCGCAATGGGGGAGGCGGAGCCGCTGCAGTCGGTGCTGTGGGTAAAGCAGCAACGTTGTGCCGTCAGTCTGGAGCCCGCTCGGGCTCTGCTACGCTGGTGGCGGAGCCCAGAGACCGGGCCTTGCGTGCCCGGTGCCGGTGAGTGTGGTCATCCGGGGCTGGTGGGGCGGTGCTCCATCCATCCCAGGCCTGCGCAGCTAGAGCGCTCCGGGCAGGCTGGGGTGGGCCGAACCCCGGAGAGACAAGACCCGAGCACGGGAAGAAGAGGCCTGGGTATCTGAGGCGCGGGGGATCAGAGGCACACGGCCCGGGTGTCGGGTAGTCAGAGTTCTCCTCTGCCTCTGGCGGGGAACCGTCCCGCCGCTGAGGCATGACAAAGCCTCAGGAGGTGCTGGATGGGGATGGGGGAAGGGCAAGCGTCCGCAGCCCCCAGCACAGCCGCGGGACCGCAAGGGAGGTCTGGTGCTGGTGCTGTCTTTGGGATGCGCTGACACGCCTAGACAGGACAGGTTTCTGGGCACCCCCTTCCTCCAATACAGTGAATCCAAGTCCAGGCACATGGGAAAAGCCCAGAGGCGCCCTGGCAGAGACTTCCTTTGATGAGGGAGTTGAGCAAGGGGCTCTGACTTTGTGTTGAGGTGTGCACCCTGCTCAGAGGCTCTCAAGGTTGAAAGAGGAGCAGCTTAGGTGAACACAGGAAAGATACAACCCACCTTCCGGGACACTGGAGCCACTCTCCCTGGGCTTTGTTGCAGGTCTGTCTGGTGGTGGCCTAGGGATTGGCAGAGATTTACAAAGGTGTCATTCAGTCCTCCTTAAAAGGAGGATTACAGAAGATTGTGTGTGGACGCCAGGAGTTGGGGCACCCAGGGCTGGCCTTGTGGGTGTATTCATTTGCTTTTTTGTATCCCTTGCTTTTTTGTTGTTGTTGTTGTTGTTTTGAGACTGTTTCTTTTTGTGGCTCAGATCCTCCTCAAACTTCGGCTGCAGAAGTATGTGTGCCACCAAGCCCAACTTTATTTTTCCTCTCCCTCTTTCTTTGCTGGAGATAACAGAATACAGGGCTTGGGGCTTGCTAACACAGGCTCTACCATCAAACAAGCATCCCTGCAAAGTTTCCCTTGAGTGCCTGCTGGGGATGGGCCCTGGGATCCCAGCCTAGGCTCAACACCTGTCAAGTCTCTGATGCAATGGGGGCTTTTCCATTTAGCAAGACACAGAGGAATAACCGTGTCTGGTGAACTTGGATCCCGAGAAGAGCCTCTGAGGGTAGGCATCTGAGAGTGAGCCACAAACGGGTGGCCAATGGCCAGTACACGGTAGGCTGAGCAGGCCTCACATGGAGGCATTTGCCCGGAGAAACCTGCAGACTGAGCGTTGATGTACATGAGTTGGGGGAAGACTGATAAAGTCAGGAAGACCCTCAAGACATGGGTGTATCAGGGTCATGGTTGAAGGGAACCACTGGAGAATAAAATCTTAGGACTCCTGTGGCCTGGCAGGCTGAAGCAGACACTGGTCTTTATTGTGGCTGTAAAGATAACCCCTGAATGTGGTGTCCAGCTTCATTTAAGACCTGATGATCTCTTCAGGGAGGCTAGAGAGAGGAGTGACCAAGCCAAGCAGAAGAGAGGCAGTTGACCCGGTCTAGGTGGAGACAGTGGAGGTAGTAGGCAAGGCTGGGTGTAGGGGGATTGAGTGTCATCTTGTCCACCTCCATTTGAGTAAAATGAAATAAAATAAACAACAAAATAAAATAAAATAAAAAAACAACAACAAAACAAGTTGGCAAACTGTGGTTTGGGAGGGGAAGGGGGGACCAAGATGGCTCCCTGCACCAACACCCCCACACTCCCGCCGTGTTTTCAGCCCCCAAAGAATTAGTCCTACTTTAGACTAAGGTGAGATTGAAGTCTGTGAAGTCAGGAGAGCAGGCTAGGAGCAGTTCATGACACATTTATTTAATTCAGCGGGAGCAGCATGGATTTTCCTGTTACAACTCATTGGGAGTGGGAGTAGTAGAAGTCAGGACTCCCCCAGTGGACAACCTGAGTTTGGGTGTCACCCATTCGTTCACTTATTCAACCCAGAATGGCTTTCTGGTGTCCTGTGGGTAGTCGGGGCTGTAAGCACCCTGACACTGTGCTGTGAGGCTCTGAAGACTGAGTGAAGAGAGGTAGGGCTAAGATGACCTCAGACTTGTGACCAACCTGGTTTCTGGCCTTGGGATCAAAGCAGCATTGTCTTCAGAGTGGCTTCCTGTGGCTCAGTGCCTGGGACTTGATTGCCCTGAGGTCTCCCTATGTGTTCCTGGCACCACCTCTCAGGGCCACGTCTCTCTTGTTCTTCGACTTTACCACTGTTCTGCCTAGGCCTGAGTTGATTGAATTCCAGGTAAGCCTCTAGAACCTGGAGTCTAGGCTTAGGATAAGAATGCTGTTTGCATGGGGTGTTCAGGATGTGTGTACACGGCAGGCCTCTGCTTTGTTCTACACACCAGACAGGGACCCTACTGACCCAGCTAGGACTTGGGGCCAAGCAAACCCAGTTCCGCGAGACAGCACTGTCTCTTTTAGCCAGGGAGGCCATGAAGACGTGGATAAGACCTGCCCCCGCCTGCTTCATAGGATGTGGTGTGGGACATCATTCATTGCTGGTTGTCAGTGTTGGCACAGTTGATGAGCTGCCATTATGGTCTCCGGTGCCCACATTCTAGGTCTGGTATGCTGGCAGTGTCTGCTTTTAGCCTGCGTGTTTTTGCTGGCAGGTGGCTTCCACAGCTGGCCGGCTCTTCGAGTATTGCATCACCCCTGTGAAGTATGCAGCCACTTCTGCACAGTCTGATCCACGGCCGCTTGGATAACAGCCCAACAGACCCGTCCTCTCTAGGATTGGCTGTGAGGGACCAGTTGGTAGGCTGGCTCAGGAAAGTTCCCCTTCCCTGGTGCTCTCCACCTCCATGTGACTTAAAGAACAAGTTGTAAGATTTGTGGCTTAGAAGGGGGAGGAGGAACCAAGTTGCCTTTCCCAATCCCCACCTACTACCCCCCTCCCTCGCTGTGTTTTCAACCCCCAAATTATTAGACCTACTTTAGAATAAGCTGTGATTGAAGTCTGTGAAGTCAGGAAGGCAGACTAGGAACGAGCAGTTCATGCCACATTGAATTCAGTTGGCCAGTGGCACTTCCAACCTGCCACTCCCCAGGTGTGTCTGGACACACCTGAATTGCCTGGCTTGGGAACCCTGGGCAGAAGATTGTGCAAAAACAGATTGTAGAACATGTGAGAGGCTGTCAGTCCTGGAACTCCAGGACAGCCCTCAGGGACACTGGGCAACCACCTGGGTATTCCATCTTCTCCGTCATTCTTTCCTGCTGTAGACATAGGAACTGGAATATATGAGTTGCTTGTTCCCTAGGTGCCTGGTGCACAGCAGGAGCAGGCTCTAAACCTGGGCACATGCTCTCTGCCAAGTGCCCGGCAGCAGAGATAAGGACTCAGTCTTGGGAGTCAGAGCTCGGTGCAGGAGGAAGCTGATGAGCCAGCCAGTGTACTCTAGGCCACTGCCTGAGAGGAAGTGGGGCAGACTAAAAAACAGGAAATGGGGGGCTTCTCTAAGTGGGTCAGTAGTTGAACTTGAGACAGTCTGGAATGATGTCTGGGCTTCTCCCTCTGGCTGCAGTAAGGCACACCATCCATTCTGCATTTGTTCTTTCAGAGAGTACGGGCTGTGTGTCTGAGTGCGCTCAGGGCTCAAGGATGGCACTGGGGCTGCTGCCTAGGCTCCACCTTTGTAGGAGAACCTCCTTTGTCTTCTACCAGCCCCAACTTGGATGCCCCAAAGCTGGTAGTGAGCTCATGGCAAGTCACTTCTATCTTTGCCTACATCTTCATTTCTCCCTGCCATGGGCAAGAAAAAGTGACCTTACATAAATCATGGGGTTGAGGGTATAGCTGAGCTGTAGAATTGCTTGCAGACATCAGGCCATAGGATGGGTCACCAACAACCCCTTGGGGGAAAAAAAAAAGCTGATTTAATAAGAAGCTGGAGAGATGATCCAGTGGGTAAGAGCATGTATTGCTCTTGCAGAGGACCTGAATTTGACTCTGAGCACTCACATCAGGTAGCTTACAACCGCCTAAAGCTATAGCACTAACAGGATCCAATGCTTCTAGCCCCAGTGGGTGCCTGTATTCACCTGCACATATTCTCACACACATAGACATCATTTTAAACTAAAAATAAAATTTTTAAAAAAATCTAGAAAGCAGACAAAAATTACTTTAGTATCATATATCCAAAGCCCTTAATGCTTACTGTTTCTGTGTATGCAAATATGCACTGAAGGGAAAACAAAAAACAAAACAAAACAACAAAAAAAAAAACTAGGGAAATAACCATAGGCTATTTTCCATGTTTTAGCTTGCTGCTGGGAATCATGGCTTGTCAAAGAGCAGCTTCACTGAGACCTGAGTCTCCTGCAATAAAATCCTCCTATTTTAAGGGCATGTATTTTGATAATTCTGCACCTGTGTAAGCATTGCCAAGATAGGGCATGGGAGCCACAACCCAGAACTTTCCCCTTACAGTCGTGGGGAAGCCCTGCCCAGCTGTCAGGGACGGGCTCCCCTCTGCAGGTAGTTCACAGGAACACAGCACACAGCCAAAACTCCCGGCAGCCCCATCTCCACTGCTTTTAAACATCATGTATCTGTGGTCAATTCTTTTGGGCTTAAATAGTATTTGTGTGTGTGTGTGTGTGTGTGTGTGTGTGTGTGTGTGTGTGTGTCTGCACAGCAAATATGATAGCAAAGCTTAAAAAGTTAAAAACTTCTAAGCATCTATGAAAATTAAAGCCAGGTCTCATGGCACATATCTGTAATCCCAGGATTTGGGAGGTATGGGGTATCATCACCAGGGCCAGCTAGGACTATACAGCGAGTCCCTGACAAAACAAAACAAAATTGGTAGGAAAGCAGAACCAAGCATGGAAACACACACCTATGATTTGAGAGATACAGGCAGGAGGACATGAGTTCTATCCTGGGTTACATAGTAAGACCTTGTCTCCAAAACATTGAAAGACATAGACGTTTCATCAGAGCAATGGCAGGGAATGGAAGAACAGATGATAGAC